AAATATGCCAGAGATCTTACGCATTATTTAGAAGATATTCCACCAATCGATTTAGATGAATACGGTACAATCTACCCTCTAGCTGACTTTTATTATCCTGCTCTGATACCACCCCTTTCTATTTTAGCCCGAAGAGGTGACATATGTGGAAGATGTCCGATTACTATGTCATTTATTGTCAAAGGAGGAATGAGTCTTTTCACTATAGAAAGAAATAGAAAAACGTCTTTAAATAACTTGATCGAGATAAATTACTCTAGCTTAACTGCATTATTAGAAATGTGTTGGGATAGTAATAAAGCGCGTGAATAGATAAGTATTATACTTATGAAATTCCTCCATCATCTGAATTTGATTTCCTCAAAATATAGTCCAAACGCCTTATATAATGCATTCACCAAGGCAAACGTTCTAGAGCCAGAACATATATTAATTCTAGATCAAGCAATATACTAAAAAATAAAAAACAATATACAATTAATATAGCCTAGGATCCTACCCCCAAAACTATAAATTTTTTTCATTATATCCTATATGTTAGTAAATTTCAAATTGACATACTACTCTTGCTTATGCAGGTATATAAACTCTTTTTTTCTAGGTATAGGAGGAAAAAGTGTAATTTATTTCGATTTGAAAAAAGAATCTCCATAGTATATATCAGACAAAAATAGTCTATATAAAACATCTCAATCATATCAACTAACTTATACTAACCATGGCAAAAATTGCTACATCATATGTAAATTACTGCAAAATAACTCCTCAAACTAGTTTACCCCAGCTTAGTATTTATGCTGAAGAGTTGGCTAATAAACTTTCAGATGGTAAAACAAAAGAGCAGCCCGAAAAGCCAGAGATCAGGCAAACAGACGCTTCCAAGAGTTAGGATTGAATAAAGAACAAGCTGATACTCTTATTCCTATTCGAGCTCCTGGGAAACATGTTTATGAAAGAGATCCTATTAAAATTATTGCCCAAAATATTATAGAAAATAATCTCTCACCTGAAGAAATAAATGGAATAGCATATGACTTGGCTTCTTCTGCTCCTACTACTGTTGCAGGAAATTCTCGTCTTAATTTATTACGGAAAGAGTTGCATAGCTTAAAAGCTAATTATCTTATTACTGAGGCAACGAAAATACCTTTTATTACTGAAAAAGCAAATCAGATTCAAGCAAGAAAGCGTATACTTCATGGAATTAATGGTTACGATTGTCCCAAGTTCTTTTACCTGGAAAAGGTTCAGGAAAGACTTAACAAATGTAATATTACCAAGTCTCCTTCAATGCAAAATCTAATAGACATAATGATAATGCTATGTATACGATCGGCAGATGTAAAAAATCTTTGTATCAACCGATACAAACCAAGTCGTGAGTCATGGTATAATCCTGACTATTCTTGGTACTGTATTGGTTATGCAAAAAATAAAGGTGAGGTAGAAGAACCCTGGCCATTCCTTTCAATAGAAAAAAATCTAATACAAGCAAGAGAATTACTTATCTGGATTCAGAGGTCGATACCGGATAAATTTCCCTTCTTGTTAAAAAATAAGAATGGAAATACTAATGTTGCACCTCTTAATCAATTCTTAAGTCGCTATAGAATTACCTCATACATGTTAAGAAAAATAGGTGCCGATCATGCTTTCAGAGTACATGGAGGTAGGAATGATTCCTGCTATCAATATTTATGGCAATTGGCATGTAGACATAAAATAGATCATGCTTTATCAGTTAAACATTATGGTGTAATGAATGACAGACCAAATGCCCCAGCACCTAAACAAGAAAATAGTGAGGTCGAGGATATCATTGACCTATATAATTACTAATTGCTTTTATCACATTCAGAGTTGGACCCAGACTCAGATAAGGATGAAGATTCAGATAAGAACTCAGATGCAGAATAAAGTGCTGTAAATTTACTTTATATAGAATAGCATATATTTTTTGTCCATAAAAAATTTTTTTACTCTTAAGACAAGTTTTAATTTTTATTAGTAAATTACTAAAAGTGCAATTATGAAAGTTGTCATCCTTTGTGTAATCTACAATATTATATTAGAAGCTATATTTTTAAAACTAATATTTAAAGAGTTCATTAAGAAATTGTAAATTATTTTTTTAATTAAAAATTTTTTAAAAAAATTTATACTTTAGGCTTATAAGCAACTACAATTTTTTTCTTATAATTTAAATACAAATATAGAAAGAATATAATTTTTATCTATATTTGAATCTCTAAAGAATGCAAAAAAAACTAACTGCAGTATAAGAATATAGATGCACAAAATATCACTACTAATGACCAGCACATAATTAGTATAGTACTTTTAACAATTATAAGGTTGCATATTAGCAAAAGCACTATATGTAAAAAAGCAAAAACCAAAAAAATAGTGTTTGATATAAAAAGCACAACTGAAGAAATGTGGCAAGAATATAGCAAGCTTCTTGATCAGACCTTAATCTAAGAATAGTATAAAGCTAAACTAAAAGTAAAAATACATCCAAGAAGCAAGTAAGTATAGATGCAAAGTAGAATATTATCAGTAAAGCAATTGAAAAAGCAGCAAAAGTAGGCCAAAACTGCAAGAAAAGAAGTAAAAAAGCTAAGCAAGCTTTGCAGAAAATGTAAGATTGACATATACAAGTCAATAAAAACTCCAGACAAAGAGAAAATTAAACTTAAAATCAGAGGTTGAAGAACACACCGAAGAAGAAACCCAAATATAATTGTCTTTCTGGTCTGAGAAATTACACTACTGGCTCGCAGCTCAATAAAACTGATATACAGCATTTGGAACAATGAAAGAAATATTTTTGATGAAAAAAGATTAACAGAAAAATAGAAAAAAGAGGAGAGATTAGAGTTCTGCAATTTGATTTGATTTGATTTGATCAAATATTTGACTCAAATCAAATTCAAATCAACTTCAATTTTGATTTGATCAAATTCAAATCAGATAAATATTTGATTTGAATTTGATTATCAAATATATCAAATATTTGATTTGATTTGAATTATCTACAGTCAACTCCCTCTAAGTGCATGTCCTCTAAGGGCAACTTCTCTCTAAATGCAATTAAATAGTCTGGTTACATGTTGGGACTTATAATATAAATGCAAGTTCTTTATTCTCTAAACGCAAGATTTTTTAGCAGTATATATAAAATTATTTTCTCTAATTGCAAGATATTTTGTTAACCAATTAAATTGACTTATTTAATTAAAGTTTTTTTTTCTAAGCGCAAGATATTTTTTTTAACTTATAAGCTTGCATTTAGAGAGAATTAATTATATATTAATTTAGTTTTCTTTAAGTGCAAGTTCTCTCTAAATGCAAGATATTTTGCTGGTCCATTAACTTGCACTTAGTGAGAGTTGACTGTATCTATAAATTATATTAAACTTTTAATGCCTGTCCGGAATAAAACGAATCTGATTATTGGTCAGTTAAGATTATTGTGATTTGTGTTACTTGCTAGGAAAATCACCCTTCGGGGTTTTCCGATCGGAAAAGCTTAGACCAGAATGTCAGTTCTTATTCATATGTAAATCACCTTTAGCTTTATTTATTCAATAGTTTATTAAATAAACTGCCGAATCAGTAAAGCAAAAAGATGCATTCTAGTCTAACCTTTTCCGAATTAGCCCGATCAGAAAGTCCCGAAGGGTGATTTTCCTAGTAAAGATCCCATTTATTAAGCATATAATACGTATCATAATACAGTTAAAACATGTAAAAATTTATCATGATTAATTTATACGTAAAGATAGACTAGTTTCCGAAACTAATAATTTTCTGTTTCAATCCCATAAAAGTTCAGGTTGAAGTTACGGTCTTAACTAATAAATCATATAAGTTTTTTTATTTTTTCTAACGAGTACTATTGCAATATTTAAAACGTAACAGAAATGATTTTTTAATTAATAAAGATCGTAATATTCTTTCTGCAACTTTTAAAAGATTTCGATTAGCCAATTTTAGGTTCTGTAATCTATTTTTCTCCACATTTTAAACAACTAAAAAAGTTTGGCCTGTGTGTCGAAGTAATTTACACAGATCAGTATGGCGTGGCGACATATTCGTACAGTATGAGGTGTAAAGCAAAAATTTGTACCATGCTGATCCGGTGATACTACTGTATTAGGCTTAGAAACTATCGTTATATTACATATATATGGTTTGGTATAATTATTTAAATAGGTACCTTTTATCGTGTTGATTCTATATCATATATTACTGTATTAGTTTTAGAAATTATTGTTATAGTATATTTATTTGGCATAATTTTTAAAATATTATAGTATTTTACACCCTTTACCATACTATTTTGGTCATTCATATTATTATATGTACGATCTTCTGTAATTCCATTTTTGATTATCCTATATCTTTTAGGTTTAGAGATCAACATAG